AATTCCAGCACGCCTGGGAACTTCTTCATTGGAGACATGGAACATGTTACGCCGTAGGGCGTAGAAGAGATGTGTGTGATGCAGGCCACTCCAACGACTAGGAGGAGACCTCTTCATGTAGCATGAATGTATAAAAAATGTTATAAACTATTGCAAAAGGGATATAAGCTATTTTCAGTGTTTAGTTTAAATTTTAATTTGTTAGTCAGTTATATTACTTGTCCAGCCGATGTAAAGCCTTTATTTATTCAAAATTAAAAAGCAATATAAAAATATTATAGAATTACTATAAAAAATGTTATAAAACTATTGCAAGAGGCCAGAGGGATATAAGCTATTTTCAGTGTTAAGTTTAAATGTTAATTTGTTAGTCAGTTCTTTTACTTGTCCAGCCGATGTAAAACCTTTATTTATTTAAAACCAATATAAAAATATCATAAAAATACTATAAAAAATGTTATAAAACTGTTGCAAAGGGGATATTTAGCTATTAATATTTTCAGTGTTTAGTTTTGTTAATTTGTTATTAAGTTGTTTTACTTGTCCAGCCGATGTAAAACCTTTATTTATTTAAAATCAATATAAAAATATCCTAAAATTATACGTACTATAAAAAATGTTATAAAACTGTTGCAAAAGGGATGTTTAGCTATTTTCAGTGTTTAGTTTTGTTAATTTGTTAGTAAATTGTTTTATTTGTCCAGCCGATGTAAAGCCTTTATTTATTTAAAACCAATATAAAAATATTATAAAATTACTATAAAAAATGTTACATACGGCGTAACATGTTCCTCCATTCCACTCGCTTTAGAGCCAACTGTTTTACTGCATCTCTGCTGATGTTATCGACACCAGCCGCATCCTCGAGTACACAGACCATCCAGCCTTTGCGGGGTCGTCCTCTCAATCTCTTTCCATAGTTTGGTTTCCAATCCAGTAAGAAATTGGGAAACCGCGTCTCTGGCATTCTGACAACATGTCCGTACCACCTTAGTCTAGCCGCACCGATGAAAGTTTCGATTATAGGGATTATAGACTTAATTCCAGCACGCCTGAGAACTTCTTCATTGGAGACATGGAACATGTTACGCCGTAGGGCGTAGAAGAGATGTGTGTGATGCAGGCCACTCCAACGACTAGGAGGAGACCTCTTCATGTAGCATGAATGTATAAAAAATGTTATAAACTGTTGCAAAAGGGATATAAGCTATTTTCAGTGTTTAGTTTAAATGTTAATTTGTTAGTCAGTTATATTACTTGTCCAACCGATGTAAAGCCTTTATTTATTCAAAATTAAAAAGCAAAATAAAAATATTATAGAATTACTATAAAAAATGTTATAAAACTATTGCAAGAGGCCAGAGGGATATAAGCTATTTTCAGTGTTAAGTTTAAATGTTAATTTTTTAGTCAGTTGTTTTACTTGTCCAGCCGATGTAAAGCCTTCATTTATTTGAAACCAATATAAAAATAACAGGGTCTGCGTATTACCTATTAAGACTGCTAGTCCCTCTACTAGTCCCCCTACTAGTCCCCCTAGTCCCCCTACTGCTAGTCCCCCTAGTCCCCCTACTGCTAGTCCCCCTACTAGTCCCCCTACTACTAGTCCCCCTACTGCTAGTCCCCCTGCTAGTCCCCTACTAGTCCCCCTAGCCCCCCTACTGCTAGTCCCCCTACTAGTCCCCCTACTACTAGTCCCCCTACTGCTAGTCCCCCTGCTAGTCCCCTACTAGTCCCCCTACTACTAGTCCCCCTACTGCTAGTCCCCCTAGTCCCCCTACTGCTAGTCCCCCTACTAGTCCCCCTACTAGTCCCCCTACTACTAGTCCCCCTACTGCTAGTCCCCTACTGCTAGTCCCCCTAGTCCCCCTACTGCTAGTCCCCCTGCTAGTCCCCTACTAGTCCCCCTACTGCTAGTCCCCCTACTGCTAGTCCCCCTACTGCTAGTCCCCCTGCTAGTCCCCCTACTAGTTCCCCTTCTGCTAGTCCCCCTACTGCTAGCCCCCCTGCTAGTCCCCCTACTAGTCCCCCTACTGCTAGTCCCCCTGCTAGTCCCCCTACTAGTCCCCCTACTGCTAGCCCCCCTACTAGTTCCCCTGCTAGTCCCCCTACTACTAGTCCCCCTACTAGTCCCCCTACTAGTCCCCCTACTACTAGTCCCCCTACTGCTAGTCCCCCTAGTCCCCCTACTGCTAGTCCCCCTACTAGTCCTTGCGCAAGAAGAAATGTGTCCGAATCTTATTTGGGGACTCGGAAGCATTTAGCGACAAGTTTAAAACTTGTTCTCGTAGCAGGCCAATCGAGTGCAGTATAAACAAGAAAGGTCAAATATCCAATGAATCAACTATACCTCACATTAAACCGCGTTCTATATGTATCAGCTTGAGGAAGACTGGTGATAAACAAGCAAGGCCACATCGCTGCCAAATTCTTGGGGCAGAATTCCACTCTAGAGAATCAACAAAACCTATTTTCCAATCTAAGGAACTAATGACAGTACATAACATATATAGATACAGATGCATTACTGAAACAATGAAGATAGTGAAGATTCATCAGCCCATATCCATGTATAATTCTCTCTTTAAGAAGTCTGAGCTCAGAGATGACAGATTTGTGACACCACACTCATCTCACAATTTCGCATATAAAGGGGCAAATTTATGGAATAGGTTTCTTGAGCAGTCAAATGCACGTGGTAAAATAGGTTCACTAGGTTCAATTAAATCCCGATTGAAGCTTTCTATCATGAAGGCTCAACACCAACCTGACAATATTAACTGGCAGGACTTAAACTTCAACACTTTCCTATGAAAAGACCCCCATTTATATTTATATATTTTAGATTTTACACCTGTCACTCACATCATATATGCACCACAAAAGAAAAAAGATTCATTCAATCATTACATTATACACTCACTCCACCACACATGCACACAAAACATTAAAGCAGGTTACACGAGGGTGTAACGTTCACTTTATCCGAAGGGAAAAATAATACTTTACGTAACGCGCGATTTACGTCTTGGTAGCTAAATTATTCAAGTGCTATTTGTCAGAGCGACACAAATGCGCGAGCGCTTGCGCGGCTCGCCTATCCAACACTCTTGTTTACATCGTATCAGGCAATGGTTCAGTTTAATTATGGTAAGGGCACAGCCTGTCAAAAACCCTTTTCTCATGATCCGTCGACACCGCCTGAAGGTGAATGCATAATAACGGATCATGAACGTACGGAATCAAACGTTAATAAGCTTGCAGCTTCCGATGAAAATGTATTCAACTTTGTGTTATGCTTGAATTGGTTTTGGACCTCTTCAATGCTTTTAATTTATTTATTATTGTTATTTGGTATTATGAGCTGATATGTATATATACATACGGTATCTAAAATTAAGCGTATAGCGAGCATATTTAACAATTTTTTAAGCAATAATGTATTGCGAGCAGCTGTAACTTAAATATCGCATAAAAATCATATAATTATAACACAAAACTAAAATTTTATTGGAATCTAGGTTAAACTAAGATAAAATTAATATCAGCCCCTTCGCCACTCTCAGCAGTCAACCAGGGCTCATAAAAGCTTAACAGCACCTGGGTCCGTTCACCAACTGTGCTAATGTGAGTGGCGGTGTGGTAAAACCCATTATAACAGCGTGAATATTTCTCAAATATAAGCGCGCTAGCTGCTAGCATACTTGTATCATTTAATTTTTAATCAAATTTATTCGGATATATATTTATTGATTATGTATTGAATTGGTGATAAATAATAAAATTGTCTTTTCTCAAAAAAAATTGTCTTTTCTCAGTCCCCCTACTAGTCCCCCTACTACTAGTCCCCCTACTACTAGTTCCCCTTCTGCTAGTCCCCCTACTGCTAGCCCCCCTGCTAGTCCCCCTACTAGTCCCCCTACTGCTAGTCCCCCTGCTAGTCCCCCTACTGCTAGCCCCCCTGCTAGTCCCCCTACTACTAGTCCCCCTACTACTAGCCCCCCTGCTAGTCCCCCTACTGCTAGTCCCCCTACTACTAGTCCCCCTACTGCTAGTCCCCCTACTACTAGTCCCCCTACTGCTAGTCCCCCTACTACTAGCCCCCCTGCTAGTCCCCCTACTAGTCCCCCTACTGCTAGCCCCCCTACTAGTTCCCCTGCTAGTCCCCCTACTACTAGTCCCCCTACTAGTCCCCCTACTACTAGTCCCCCTACTACTAGTCCCCCTACTGCTAGTCCCCCTGCTAGTCCCCCTACTACTAGTCCCCCTACTGCTAGTCCCCCTGCTAGTCCCCCTACTACTAGTCCCCTTACTGCTAGTCCCCCTGCTAGTCCCCTACTAGTCCCCCTACGGCCTATTTCCTTGCAGATTATCTGCTAGTCTGCTATGGTTTCTGGCTGTGGGCCCTACTGCTAGTCCCCCTACTGCTAGCCCCCCTGCTAGTCCCCCTACTAGTTCCCTTGCTAGTCCCCCTACTAGTTCCCCTTCTGCTAGTCCCCCTACTGCTAGCCCCCCTGCTAGTCCCCCTACTAGTCCCCCTACTGCTAGTCCCCCTACTAGTCCCCCTACTGCTAGCCCCCCTGCTAGTCCCCCTACTACTAGTCCCCCTACTACTAGCCCCCCTGCTAGTCCCCCTACTGCTAGTCCCCCTACTAGTCCCCCTACTGCTAGTCCCCCTACTAGTCCCCCTACTGCTAGCCCCCCTGCTAGTCCCCCTACTACTAGTCCCCCTACTGCTAGTCCCCCTACTGCTAGTCCCCCTACTAGTCCCCCTACTACTAGCCCCCCTGCTAGTCCCCCTACTGCTAGTCCCCCTACTGCTAGTCCCCCTACTAGTCCCCCTACTGCTAGCCCCCCTGCTAGTCCCCCTACTGCTAGTCCCCCTGCTAGTCCCCTGCTAGTCCCCCTACTGCTAGCCCCCCTGCTAGTCCCCCTGCTAGTCCCCCTACTACTAGTCCCCCTGCTAGTCCCCCTGCTAGTCCCCCTACTGCTAGTCTTACCTGAAGACAGAGCTGGAAGAGGCCGCCATAAAGGCACTGCCCATAGCTGCTGCTTCGTCTGTATTGATATACTTGTGCAACTCTTTCCTGAAGTGGAGTTGCATTGTTCATGACGTCATAATAATGTTTCGGTGATGTCATAATGACGCCATTATATATTTTGATGACATCATAATAACATATAATTGACGTCAAATCAGATCGATAGCAAATTTAACAAGAGTAGAAATGCTTTATAGAAACACTTTTCTAGGATCCATGATTACAAAATAAACATAATACTTAGAGAAAAGAGTTACAACTTTTTCAGGAAAACAAAAACTCACTGTTCAGTAGCCTTTAGTATCTGTTCCTGTATCTTAGGGATCCTAGTACCGCCACCGAACAGTACTACTTGTTCAATCTCCGGTTTTGAGATCCCAGCTGAGTTAATAGCGTCCAAAAACGGTGCTCTGATAAGGAGAGTAGTAGTTGGATTAATATTGAAACTCTGGTCACTTCCAAAATATCTTCTAAAATGATGTACAGACAAACTTGATGAAAAGTAGCTGAAAATAACTGAAAGTAACAGAAAAGTAACTTTAAAATAACTGATAAGCAACTGAAAGTAAACCAACTAAAAGCCCAACTGATTAGTCAACCATCAGACGTACAAACTGTTAACTTTTTAAAATTGTCCAATTTTAAAGAAAACTCACTGGAAACGTGGGAAGATGTCAGCGAACAGATTCTCCATGTCTTCCCGGGAGATCTTGACTCTGAAGTCCTTGTCTTGGTGCAGTGACTCTACCTGGGCGTATGTATCGTGGTTGGCGCTCAGCACTGTTTTTACTTTTCTAGCTTCTTTCAGTAGCTTCTTCATTGCTCGTCCGTTTTTCCTCACGTCTGATAGCTGAGGAGATAAAGTTTAGATTTAAAAGTTTAGATTTAAAAACAAGAATTAGTGAGATAAAATAGAATAAAAAGTAGAATTGGTAGGATCAGCGCAATTTCGCCGTTAAATCGGGGTGAAAATGTACGGGGGTACGGCAGTGAGTGCCAGTGACGAGGGCCCCCTCTCCCCTCTCGTTCAATGGATGGTGATGATTTAAAGCATCTAATTTAGGAATTTTAGGTGCCATTTAAACTGTACATTCGGATTTCGCAACGTAAATTTTTACAGGGTCTTTTAACTGTTTGCAACGAATTTGAAGCCGGATATCTTATCTACTTCTCAATGCTAACAGGTGCATTATATGGATGTACGTTGCTCACGAGGATCAGGGCGTAATAAGTATTGGTCTGGCTGACCCTTAATCCTCATTAATAATGAACGAGTTTACCGGGTAACTCAGGAATTGAGTGCTGTAATCCCTATGATTACTATTATAGAAGGTGCCATTAAAACGAGCCAGCTGACGGTTTGATTTTATCATATCTTTTATCTAACCAACGATTTTGGATGTTCGGACTGAATAAATTTGTAAATCAAGCTAAGTAATTTATTAGTTAGCGTCATTCATCTGATATCAACCGGTTTTAATCTGATCTATAATGATTATAAAAGTAAGAGTTTATAAAGATAAAGTTATTTAATTTTGCCTGGGTAGTGGTCATCCTCTATTTGTGATTTATGCCTCCAAATCAATCGAGGTTCATTTATAATTTCCTCTTATTTTACAGCTGTTGTTGCACATTGCATGATCAAAGATCCTAAAATCCATCTTTAATTTGCGTCTCACATCATCTTCTGTGATGAATCGGACATGTATTTCTCCTGTCACGTAACATGTTATTTAAACAGACATAGCAAGTAACAATTAATTAAGGTTCAGTAGATTACAGCAGATGGTGATCTTCCTGATTTCCGTATTGGTGCTGGTTGCAGTTTCAGATACATCTGAAGGTATGCGTTAACAATCTGATATTGAAGATTTACCACTATATTATAAATTATTACTATCAATTATCAACAGTGTTCTAACCTAACCTAGGCAGCTTTTAGTAACGACTAAGGAATGGTAACTCCAAACTTTGTCTCCCAGGACCGTTCAAATTACGAATAACAGTGCTCAACATGACGTCACCAAAACTGGTGATTGGTCAAAGGCACTAGAAATCTCACTACAATCCATGCCTCGTCTTATTGCCTTCAAAGCTTATAACTCAAATAATAATGCCGGGGTTCTAGCATCACTATCCGATAAAGATGGAAAAGATGTCGCAGTTACAGATTCTAAATGGAGATGTTCTGCCATACACGAGGATGGTTGGGAATAGGTACAGTTCCGTGAAAGTTCTAACGACTGGAGTAATGCAGTGATCATAGCTAATCATGGGGAGGGGCCATGGGCATGGAAGGGGCCACCGAATGAGTAAGTAACCGAAAAAACGTGCAATAATACAAATGGCGGCATTTATAGACATTTTCTCTTACTTTCAGCACAGTAATTAAAATACGCTATTATTTTCAAGGTTCGTTGAGGAAATTTCTAAGCAAGCTAAGTGGATCTGGATTGGCGAAGATAACAAACGCACTGTCTACTGTCGTTTAACTTCGAATGCAAGTAAGTGTAAAAGTTTCAAATAAAAAATCAAATCATTAATTTCTGGGTTGAGCATATTGGGTATTAAACGTTTCTCTGTAAGCAATCTCATAATTCCCATCCCCTCCCCAACCTCCTACCACAAAAATCCCGAAATCCTTGATAACCTTTCAACTAAGATATAATCTGAATCCCGGTCCGAAGTCCGTCGTCCGTTGCATAGTTTTATAGCAGATGGTGACGACTGACGAGATTCAGTCTCCAGCCAGCATCAGTTATAGAGTTTGCTTAACCAATTGGTTGGTCTATTGTGTTTGAAATTGAGGAAGATTTATAAGCTGTCGTTTGCAGTAAGCTGTAGTTTTATCAATTCCTGATTGCCATATTTCTTTTCTTCATAACAAGGTTCACTTTCTTTGGTAAATTGCATTTTAAGAAGTTATAGCTGTAAAACTCAAGATGATCACCGTATTATAGGTAATCAGTACATCTTATCCGGTAAACGTACTGTAGTGCGACACGTACTGTAGTTCGAAACCTGAAGGTTGACAAGACCGTACTGTAGTGTGACACCAGAACCTGTCATATTTTCAAGTTCAGGTCAGATCCTATCCTTGTTATGAACCATTAAGTGATTCGTCGGGTCGGTCCACGAATGTCGAAGTGATCCATTTTATCCAGGTGTGACACAGACAGCTGTGACACAGGTGTGACACAGGTGTGACACAGACAGAAACATGTCAACTAGCTAACCTGCCAGATTTCCCCTTCCGATTTCTGCAGAACTAGGATATCAGCTCTATTCCACCAGGTAACTAATTCCTAGAGCTCTGAAGTATATTGGACTTCATAATTTGTACACTGATTGCCAGATAGGCTATTGGATACCATAAAATTGTTAAAACTAAGACTACTTTTCTTGAGGATTTAAGTCCTTTGTTTAATAACTTAATTAGTGATTGAACATGATTAGTTTGGCTGGCAAAGATTCTGACGAAATTGGTCCCCTAAAACTACACCATTTTCAGAGTAACATAAAGTCGCAACAGAGTTAGTTTGTCTTCAGAACTCATCAGATTTCACACTGCCAGCTTCTTTTCAATTCCAAACACTTGATTGGTAGACTATTATTAAATCCGGACTAAGACAATGTCAAATAGCTAAAATGTTTTTGAGGTAAGTTTTTCATGGGATTTGTGTTTACATAATTACCCAGTACAGGTCTCACAACCATAATATTATGTTAATTAACGTGTGCCTTGGTTAATTAATTTAATTAATTATTTAAAATCAGTACACAAGTCACGGATAATTGGACAATGCCTTGCCCATTTTCTAAAAGTTTTCAATTTATGGGGCTTTTCAACATCAAGCATTAAGCAACCAAGTGTGCTTGCTCAAATAAAGACCCACAAAATGTTTAAATCCCATATACACGGACAAGAGTCCACCCAATTAAAGTATAATTATAGAAATTAAAATTAAATTTAAAAAACTTTTACCTTAGGATACTTTTCAGTGAACTTGTTAGCTAAATGCTCCCTCAGTCTCAGATCCATTTCATATGATCCCAGACCTCTGTCATACCTGAAACCACGTTGTATTATGAACCAAACAAAAACTCTCAGAACTGACGGATAATTCTTCAGTTCTTATATTTTTCTCATTGCCTCGCCCCTCCCTCCCTTTAAATATATCGGGTTGCGAAACGGAGATGACCATTGACGAAGTTAACTGATATCTTGCTCCAAGAAAATTTGACTCTGAATAAAACGTTGTGCACCAGTGGTCCAGTTATGTATACATTTTGTTCACTGTAACGACCTTTTTTAAGATTATAAAAAAATAGAACGGCTGATATATTATATGCATGATAAAGTAGGACAACAAAATATTTAATATTCACAAGAAATTATCAAATTGCTAAACAAATAAAAGTAAAAGTAAAAGCAAAAGTAAATAAATATTATAATTACCCAACTCCCATGACTTGTACAGTATTTACCAACTCCTTGGTGACTTTGTCCTTGACTTGGGAGTAACTGACAACAGCAGCTGTGGTAAACTGAGATCCTACGGTCGCGAATAATACGATCTGGGGAGGACAAAATGTAGTTAAGTTATTATTAATAAAGTTATTACAAGTATAAAATGTACTTAAGTTATTATTAATTAAAAGTTCTTAACAAGGGATAGTTAAAAACAACGCCCAAGTCCAATCTAATATCTATCCCTAAAATAAATGACTTTTTATGTAAAGTTTACGTAACTGCTCAATAAAGTTAAGTAGTTAGGTATTATATTTGCCAGGCAATATGAGATGAGTTATTATCCAAAATAGATACTACGCACATGAACCAAGCTCATAAAAACCCGCAACATTAAACATAATATCCGAGCGAGAAGAGAAAGGAATATATTGCCTGCCAACGCACAGTCCAGTATGAAAACTCTTTTTGTGTTCAATGTTTTACTTACCATGGGCTTTTCAGTCATTTTGATGTTTCTGAAGACTGCATATTGCAGTGATATAGCTGAGGTTGTTGTCATCAGCTGCATTACTTGGACTCCAGCTATTTCCGCTACACTGGAGGGTCATTTGTTTAACTTCTTCTCATTAAGGGATACATAAACTTTTTACTAAGATCGTGGCACATACCTAACAATTAGCTTCTCATTTAAAATTAAATGTATATAATATTGCTTTTGTAAGATTAACAATTTAAGAACTTTTCTAATCTAATCTACTATATTATCTACATTCCAAGACACTTGAAACGATTTAACCTGCATATTGTTTATCTTACATATAAAGTTACGCACAATTTTTGACCGGCTCCCGTTACCGAATCGTATGTTTCTGAACCGTTGCAGTTGTAAAGGTCAGGTCTTCAGCCCGGTATGAAAAGAGTTCGTTTGATGGACAGATTTCCAGTAGTGATTCATTCCTTCAGGGATTAAATCCAATAGGGATCCATTCTGCTTGCTCTTTAAAAAAACTATAAATGCGTACATTTCTAGTTTAACACCGCGTTATCCTTTACAATTAGTTCCCCCTTACATAACCCAACATTTTCTTATTAGCGAACTGAAAGAAATAAACCCTATGAAAGTGTTCCTGTTATTGGCTGTATTGGTGGGAATGTCTGTTGCTATCAAATGTAAGGTCGGTATTGGTGGCGCTGCTGTGGATGTACACTGTACTAGCAACTTTGGAAAATGCCTTACTATCGACACTCTAGGTCTGGGCATCAAAACTTACTCTTGTGGGACTGGCTGTGGGGCACTTCCACACTGTAGTTCATGTAACTATGATCTGTGCAACTCTGCTGCAGGGTTCAGATTGGGAATGAACCATCTCCTTATTATATGTCTCTTGCAGTCAGTCATATTTATTTTAGTTCAGTAAAGTAAAGACATGTTGATGTTTATCAATTTTGTAATTAGAGGGATTTGGAGACTGTTAATAATTGTTACTTTTAATTATTTTCAAATGCGCATGTTTAATTATTTCAACCTTGTAAAGAAATTTAACACGTTTTTATTTTTTTAAAGAATTAAAATAAAATTGCTTCATTAGTCTACAATTCCGAATCTTAAACTTGGCAACATGCCAACCGGGTAAATATAACAAGCCATACCTACGATGAAATATATCTGTACAGATGCCATTAAACTCAATTCATCGTCAACTGAAGTTAGCCTCCCTACTTACATCTACCCTCTAACCTCTACCCTCTAACCTCTAACCTCTAACCTCTAACCTCGAACCTCTAACATCTAACCTCTAACATCTAACCTCTAATATCTAACCTCTTGGTAAAGATGAATACCCTAACGCCAGACCCCCGCCAGACCCACAAACTCCATAGATTATAGTATTTTTGATAGAAGGATGATATTTAAAGCTGTATTAATAGCTTGCTGCTCAAGGTATTATTGTTGTATTTTATTTATTAACCATTTATCATTGTTAGGCATGTAGACAAATTTCCAGTTATCGCAAGAGTTGTCTCACTTGTTCAGAACATATTTGTCTACATCCCTCATCATGGAAAAGTTTTTAAGCCCTCAGCGCTTGGACATCACCCTCACAGATAAAGGTGACGAAGTTGCAGATACCTACCTGCACTGGAAACAGACTCTAGACAATTTTATTACTATTCTTGGTGAAAAAGCTAACACCGAAGAGACACAATATATGGTGCTTTGCAATTATGTGAGCCCCTCAATATATACAACTATCAAGGGTGAAACAAAGTTTTCGGAGGCAGTTAAGATCTTGAATGGTTTGTTTGTTAAAACAAAGAATACTAACTTTGCGAGATTGTGTTTATCTACACGGAGTCAAACTGAAGCTGAATCAGTTGATCAATTCGTCTTGGCGTTGCGGACACTGGCAAAACAGTGTAATTTTACCGAAGTATCAGCTGCTGTTCATGGGGAAGAGAGCATTAGAACAGCTCTTATCAGTGGGCTAAGGGACAAGCAAATTCGGCAGCGCCTAATGGAGGACACTAAAAGTTTAGATGATACCATCACTCTGGCTTGTACTCTGGAGCAATCAATCTCAAACAATGAAAAGTATAACGGTTCTAATCTAAATGGTATTGTTAAGGGAAACGATTCTGGACTGGATTCAAAGGATCATGCGGTTGTAGCTGCCACTCACGGCAATTCAGTTAGTCCTAATATAAAGTGTGGATATTGTGGTAAGGAGTACCATGTTCGAACTGCGTGTCCTGCTAATAATACTACTTGTAAAACTTGCGGTAAGCGCGGACATTGGGCACGAGTATGTCGATCAGCGACGGGTCTTGGGAAGACCGCACCTAATGATTACTTCTCTAAGAAGAACTCTGCAAACAACGCTTATACTCCAGTTAACAACGCCTACAACGTCCCGTCTGCTGATCAGCCCCAGCAATCATCCCCATTCTCTTATCTTTGTGCTATGTCTCCATCGACACCTTCAACGCTGTCTCAGACAACCGTCAACGCAAAGGTAAATAATCATATCGCTTACATTTTGATTGACACTGGTAGCTCAGAGAGTTTTGTTGACTTGGGTTTTGCTAGGCGAAATGGCATAACGATAGGCCCTGGTACGAACAAAATAACTTTAGCTTCGGAATCAATGTCAACAAACACTCAGGGGTCCTGTGTAGTAGATATTGTGATTGAAGGCCACTCCTATTCAGAGTGTAAATTATCAGTTATGGACAAACTATGTTGCGACGCAATCGTGGGTTTGGATTTACTCCGAAGTCATATGAATCTTGTGGTTAATTTCGGAGGAAATAGAGATCCCTTGGTGATAGATGAAGCTGGTAGGAACTGTGCACAGCTTTCAATGTCGAACCTTGAGCCCATACCTCTATTCTCCACATTAATGGAAGGCACCAATCCAATCGCTTGTAGGTCCAGAAAGTACTCTGATGCAGAGAGAGCATTTATAGCAAAATCGGTTAAAGAGTTATTGGAACAGGGCACTATTAGGCCAAGTAATAGTCCTTGGAGAGCACAGGTCCTCGTTACAGGTTTAGATTCGGCAAGGCCCCGAATGGTGGTAGACTACTCTCGAACGATCAACAAATTCACACACTTAGATGCGTATCCTCTGCCAAACCTTGATACTATGGCCTCGCAGATAGCTAAGTACAGGATCTATAGCACATTTGATCTTAAGTCTGCCTACCATCAAATCCCGATTCTCGAAGGAGAAAAGCCACTCACAGCCTTTGAAGCAGCTGGGAAACTATTTGAATTTAATGGCATTCCCTTTGGAGTCACTAATGGCGGGCCTGTTTTTCAACGTAATATGGACATACTTGTGGAGGAAAATAAGTTAGATAGTGTTTTTCCTTATCTGGACAATATAACGGTTGGGGGCTATGATCAGGAAGATCACGACAAAAACGTCAAGGGGTTATTGTCGACTATTAAGAAGTTGGGACTAACGTTGAATCATGATAAGACTATAAGTTCAGTTGAAACTATCAACATTTTGGGCTATCAAATTTCTCACGGCACTATCCGTCCTGATCCTGAGCGCATGCAGCCGTTGAGGGACTTGCCGGTACCACATGATGCTGACTCACTAAAAAGGGCCATGGGCTTATTCTCTTATTATGCTAAATGGGTGCCAAAATTCTCGGACTTGGTACGACCTTTGATAGACCCGGAATTCCCCCTACAGAAAGAGGCAATCACGGCATTTAATAATCTGAAAACGTGTATAGAGGGTTCCTGTGTAGTCTGCCCTAACACTAATGAGCTGATGGTGCTAGAGTCTGACGCTTCTGATTTTGCAGTCTCGGCCAGTTTGAATCAAGGAGGAAAACCGGTGGCATTCTTTTCTCGAACATTGAAGCCTCATGAAAGGAAACATCATGCAGTGGAGAAGGAGGCTTGTGCTATTGTGGAGGCATGTCGTGCGTGGCGACATTACTTAGTTAGCCGGCACTTTAAATTACTTACGGATCAGCAGGCTGTTTCGTACATATATGATAAAAAGAATCATGGAAAGACTAAAAACAGCAAGATAGACCGATGGCGTATTGAACTCAGCTGTCTAGACTTTGACATAGAGTACAGACCAGGCCCGCTTAATGTCACAGCGGACTGCTTGTCAAGAGCATTTAGTGCTGCTACATATCATACAGGTCCTTCCCTCTCTCGGATTCACGAAGAACTATGTCACCCTGGGGTCACTAGAAGGTATCACTTCGTTAGGAGTAAGAATCTTACCTATTCTCTAGCGGAGGTAAAAGAGACCATCGCGAAATGTGTGGTGTGTTCTAAGATTAAACCACGTTTCTGTAAGTCCGAGAACTCTCCAGTGATTAAGTCAACACAACCTTTTGAACGATTGAGCATTGATTTTAAGGGACCCTTACCAAGTGGTACAGGGAACAGGTTCATATTAACTGTAGTTGACGAGTACTCGAGGTTCCCGTTTGCCATTCCGTGCCGTGATCAAGAGTCAAGGACAGTGATTAAGGCGCTCATGAATTTATTTTCATTGTTCGGTACTCCGGGGATGGTCCACTCGGATAATGGACCATCACTCGTCTCTCACGAATTCAGATCATTCCTAATTGAGAACAACATTGGATTCTCAAATAGCAGCCGGTATAATCCCAGAGGAAATGGCCAAGTTGAAAGATATAATGCCGTTATATGGAAAGGAATTGAACTGGCGTTGGCTAATAAGAAATTAGCACCATGTCACTGGGAACAGGTCCTCCCTCAAGTTCTGCACTCTATCCGCACCTTATTATGTACCTCAACTAATCAATCACCTCACGAGCGATTATTTAGTTATGTTAGGAGATCTGCCACAGGTAATTCGCTACCTTCTTGGCTTATTGGGGCATCCAAGGTTCTTCTTAAGAAACACGTGAGGTCTAATAAATACGATGATTTGTGCGAAGAGGTGGATATTGTCTCACTACAGCCTGAATCTGCTAAAGTTAGGTTTGCTTCCGGAAGGGAGGCCTCGGTATCGATTCGGGATATTGCTCCTCTGGCAGGTCAAGTTGAGATTGACCCTGGACAAAATTCTGTTGTTGATTGCGGTGAAGTACAGACTATTGATAGGGAATTAACCGCAGGACCTGTTGTAATCGGACAAGATAGTGGCTCTGTTCCTACTGAGAATACGTGTAACCCTGCTGTTCCGCCGTCGGACGTTGTGGTACCGGACTTTACCCCTGCATTACGTAGGTCACAGAGGACTAATAAGGGAGTACCTCCTCCGCGGTTTGAGGCAGGTTGAAACTTTATTGACTTGCTGTTTAATGAATGATATATTTTCTGGAATTGTGATTTTTATGGTATTAATCAGATTTATAACTTGGTAGATTTGAGGTTTTACGAATCGTGTTTTACAAATTCATGTTTTATGAGTGCCTTTTTGAACAACACATGTTTATGAAAGATGTATTTTTATATGAACCGATTATTTGGTTTTTTTGCGAGTATGTGACTTTTGAGAAGTTTTATCAATGTTTTATCATATGTACTGTATCCTTATCTGCGCATTGAAATGGCGCTAATCCGTATAAAAAGCACAATTTTCAGCTGGCGCGCGCATTTGCGCGTTTCTATTTGTAAAATTTTTAAATTTTGTTTGATTTTTACGGGGGGTGTATGTTGTATTTTATTTATTAACCATTTATCATTGTTAGGCATGTAGACAAATTTCCAGTTATCGCAAGAGTTGTCTCACTTGTTCAGAACAATTATTATTTTACCAAAGTCCCCAAACTGAAGTGGTTGCACACTTCTTGGTCATTCATCTATTTTCTTTACTGTCACGGTGTTATTTTATTGAGTTAAATAGACACGGATTCTGGTGGGGAGGTGAAGCATAATTGTTTTGACACATGACAGTAATTCTAAGGATTGATCGGTCAATGCTGGATTGTTGAATCGCTGTCATACTAAGGAAGGGCACCTTTTTTCCAACAAAGAGAAGGGCAAAATGGAAATGTAAGCTATATTTGCCACAACAAATACTACCCTGTTTGTCCCGGGCAAGATGTGGATTGTGGTGGGGAGGTGACTTAATCAGGGATTTGTAGAGCTGGAGCATAACAGGTTTTATCCTGTCTTTGAATGATCCAAGAACCTAAGATGCCATCTGACTTGCCTGGTGAACCATGATGATATATTATTATTTATCAATTAATAAACCAATTGTAAAACTTACTTGAGCATAGCTTCCCTTTCCTTCTGATTGAAGAAAGGAGGAACACAGATTATAACCTTACTGACTGGAGCTTCCCCGTGTTTTGTAGCGAGCAGCACCGCAAACTCTATCTGCGGGGTTTTTAGTTACAGACTGTTATCTGTACTTGGAGAAGGTACATTGATCCTGGCAAAAATGTACAAGAAATGTACAAGAAATGTACAAGAAGTGATGCGTGAAAGCTGAATCTAATGTTAAGGTATGTTGTATTCTCCCATGAATATATATTATATAAGGGTAAAATTAGTGAGGGTAAACTGTATTAATTTGCTAAATTTTATCCAGATGCCAATTGCTTGCATAGTTCCTTACTTGCATTGCCAGTAACTCCTCAACACTGTAAAATGTATTGTCGTCGTGTCGGAACACTACTGTATTTCTCACTGGATCAGCTTCTATCGTATGATAGGGAAACCTGTGTTGTATTTGGACGCTAACTTAATATTTGAGAAAAACTTTAAGGAGATACGGTGTAGTTTCAATAATCAATACAGATACTCAACTAATTTAGGATAACTCGAATGTTTACCTTTCTTTATACTCAGTGACCACTGGGTTATCTGTAGATTTACCGAGTAGATCTAACAGGTTAGAGTATGCGTTCTTCGGTGATTTTTCTCCCTGAAAATGAGTTGTGTTGAAAACTTTTGTTTACGCTTTCGACCATTTAATTATTTGCGCCAATACAACACCTGTCGCCATACGTTACATTTGAATAAATTCAAGATTGTGAATACCCGGAATAAATCATGAGACTCTTTACAAAAGTTACTACCAGTAAAAGTTACCAGCTGCTCATTAAAGAAATCAGAAGTTCATTATCATGATGTACGACATAGTACGTAAGTCTTTGCGTCATACCACTGTACGATTTAATTGTACAGTAGTATACTACGGGTCCATTGGAGACTGTGCCACGTTCAAGATCTATTAACGCGCATTGCGCGCGCTAATTTACTTATGAGGATGGATTTTTGCTATGTACGCGAAACCATGCGGCTTACACTAAGTTCAGTTTTTCCGTGACCAATTTTTGATTTTCCTCGAGGTCCAAAACACTAAATAATTAATAAGTGCTAAAATATTTACCCTGGTTACAGCGGTATCACCAAATAACCGTTCATCACCCTTAATGTAGACTGTCATTGGAGTTTTGCGTTTGGTTTCGGTGTTTAACACAATGTCTATGGGTACTCCAGGCTTTACAATTCCTATCTGAAAAAGTGTGATTCGATTTTAAGTGCATCTCCCGACAAAAATGTTGTTATTCGTATAAAAGTATGGATTATTCAAACGACAACCGCATGACTTGATATCAAACGTTTAAATTACTTGATTATTACACAAACAGTTTTAGACGTACCTTCATGAATTCAGTGCCCAAATCGAGAGAGATCAAGGAAGTCGAGGACACTGTTGCGAACAGCGCTAAGCTGATTAACAACCTTAACAACATTGTTGCTGGTGTTAGTGTCTTAGTGGTAACTTGCTTCTACTGGAATATTGGTCGAACTGTTATCTGGTCTAAGGTCTTGCTATGCTACAGGGAGAAATTATTAAAATGTGCTTTCCGTAAAATATCAACTAAAATATTCATCAATTGGTTACACAATATACCAATTTTTTCAATGATCACGAGGAATAAATCACAGAAAATAAAAAAAATAAAAAATTTGGCATCACGAATTAAAGCCTATCAAAAGACACACATGTCATGTAAACAAAAATTTTAATCTCAAAAACTATCATTCTCAATAATAGCAATAAAATAAATTTACATAAAAGTATATATATATATATATATATATATATGTATATAACATATCAATACAAAGTTAAACTTGAAGCTAGGCTCGATTTGACGCTACCGTGTTCCTTCAATCTGATAGCAAGGTCATTTTAATCATGCAATTATTATATGGCCTTACAATGTCCCTTTATTTTCAGACAAACTAGGATAATCATAGCAACGACCAAGTTATGCGTATGTCAGTATCATTTTAATCACGATATATATTATCTAATTCTTCAGGTATCCAGGTAGTTTCATCGTCATGAAGAGTCGGCAAAGGAAGAAAGAGACAACGACCATGAACAGTCCCAGAAACAGCATTATAAATCTGTTCAGCTTAGGTAAACTGAGGAGGGTGTAATTGTAAATTTGTTAATTAATTTTAATTTAATTAAACAAATGGTTTAAATTTTAATTTAATTGAACAAATGGTTTTAAACGAAAGGAAGGAATTCGAATAGTTGAAAATCAGCAGAATCATGAAAACTATCATGTTAATATTCTAAGTTAATCAAGCTTACACCAAAATAACAATACCTTACAAGACATATTTATGGCGGCCTAATTTGCGACGACCGAAATTTTGGCGGTCCGAAAATATGGCGAAATTGAACAAAAACCGTCAAATTTCGGACGTCACAGAAAATAAGGGTATTTTTCATCATTTTTTGTGACAGTAAGCAGTAAGGAAATTTCTGAAATTCGGTAAAATCATGTTCAAACTTAGTCTGTATTAAGACTGTAAGACTTTCATGTTAGCACATATATAATACATGTATTTTAATGCAAATTTAAACTGTATTGCTTGACATTCAATTCGTCATTGGTGTGGTGATAATTTGTCCCAAGATGCCAGAATTTATTTATTTATTTTACTTGATATTACTTTTTAGAAACAAAATAAAGCAGTGAAGGCACAGTCATTGAAATAAGCTAAAAGATAATGCGACGGATTCTATTACGACGACCGAAATTTTGGCGGTCCGAAAATATGGCGAAATTTTCGGAAAACCGCCACATTTCGTACGTTATAAATATGTCTTGTAAGGTAGCTAAAATTACTCAAGCAACAGAAAAAGTAGCCATCAACTCACTTAGCTCCATTAGCTTTATCCAGTACAACAAATCCCAGACTCCCCATAACAAAGAGGAAACTACTGGCAAGTCCCTCCATAATGTACTGACCGTTAACTCTGTACGCTAGAAACGCTACTGGCCGAGGGTTACCTCTCTCGTCTGTAACCTGCAGTAAACGTGTCAGTGAGATATCTAATGGTGTTATCGTGCAAGGTGCAGTCAAGATGTTGTAAGCGATAGTACTTAGAGGTAGCTTTATTTATGATTTCATTTTTAAAAGGTCGCCCAAATCTTTTGGTTCTTACAGGGACTTTACAAGTATGATTTCAGTAAACTTTTCAAATATTGTTGTTATGGTAAATTCGTGATGTTGCGAGATATAGAGCTTTGAAGTTGTGAATGAGAAATGTGGTATCTAAACAATCATATCTCAATAAAACATAAATAAAACATAAAATATGCTTGAAAACCAAAGATAACCCACCTGTCCGATACTTGGAGGCTCAATGATAATATCGTAGATAACACCTCCCAGCACTAGGAAGTAAGAAACTAGGATCATTCCGTACACCATCATCGCACTGGGCATGGCAATGAAACTGGGCTTCTTCAGCCTCATTGGAGGGATCTCCAGCAGTTTAAATGGGAGGCCGAACAAAGTCTCCATTGTTGGCTATAAGAGTGGAGTGTGGTTATTAATACTGTTTGTTGTGCAGAAAGTTACAGTGTTATTTCATGAATCATTTGTAATTTCATACATAATCTGAATATACGGCTTCAGACAGACAGTAAACTGTTTAGTAAAAATGTTGGCACTAATATCATGTGATTTTGTATGTTATGTTGCATAATATTATTATTATTATGAGTAGCATGGAATTATAAACACAGCTATACATAAAACAAAATATAATCACAACAAAAATCAATAGTAACAATCTCAGGATCTAGTTTTAACTGAAAAAAAAATCTCGCTCAGTGCCAGAATTTGCAAGGGTCCTGTTGATGTTTTAAAATGTCGTTTAAAAGGTTAACAAATTACAAAATCTATAAAAATTAAAAACTAAAAAGATAAAATCAGTCTGATGGAAAAACAATAATTTTATAATATCGATAAAATGTATTGACAACAGAAAATAAATCATTTTACTTTGACCTCCGTTCTAAAGACAAAAACATACTGCTAAACATTAATAACTTAATCACCTCTATTTAATTTAATATGTCGAATGCCTAACACCAACATTCCTGAAATAATTTGGTCCATGACCCTTTGTGATGTCATATCCATGTTCGATAGCATCGACAACTGACATTGGTAAAGGTCCTACATTTAATGCATCCATGTTGGAAACCAAATTTGCAATACTACTACTCCCAACTATGATCCCATCATCGTTATCATCTGACAGAGCAGAGTGATGAACCAACCACCTTAAAGCCGCAGAGTGAACAGCCACCTCCTCCTTTTGGCATTCCTCCTGGATAATCTCAAGAGCGTCAAAGTATTTTCCCCGCCAGAAGCGATCTCTGTAAGAAGGGCCCCAGGAACTTCCAGTAAACCTTCCCAGCTCAGTTTTATCCTGAGGTCGGTCATCTCGGCTGTGCTTGCCAGTTAGAATGCCTCCAGCAAGTGGGTTGTAGCAGTAGAAGCTCATTCCATATCTTCTTAGACATGGCAGCAATTCTGTCTCAACCATTCTAGTGAGGCAGTTGTACATTCCTTGGTATACTGAAGGTGTCATATAGCCATTGTGTTTACAGATCTGTTGAACCTCTGTGATTTGCCACGAGATAAAATTGGACAATCCAAACCTCTTGAATTTTCCCTCGTTGTAGAGTTTGTTTATTTCACTCAAGGTATCTTCAATGTCGACATCCATGCATGGCCAGTGCAAATAGAAGATATCCACCTGCTCAGCATTAAGGTTTATCAGAGAAGTTTCCAATTGGTGTCGAACACTTTCAGGAGAAAATGTCTTACCACCACCAGGATTAGCCTTGGTTGATATATTTGAACCATGGGCAGTGTTCATTTTACCCAGGTACATTTCTGTGAGACCCCCAGTTGTCCCGCCACCGCCCTCACTGGCGTACATATACGCTGAATCAAGTTGGCTGTGGCCATATTCTTGAAACTTTCTAAGAAATTCTGTGCTCTCCTCTAGGTTCATGCGTCTACCCATTTCCATTGTACCCAGTACAATTCTTGAGACAGAGCTTCTCGACATTTTCAGCAGCTGCACAGAATCTTTGGTAAACATAACGTAGCGTTAAAATATTCGTTTCAATAAAATTTTTATGATCAGTGAGTTGAGCAATTTGAATAGTGGTGAAACTCAAAACACTAAATCTACTGGAATGTGTATGAACATTTTCCTAGCTTCAAATTTGCTAACAATCACTTGCAAACTATTATTTAAGGAAAAAATAATACACCCGGCAATAAAACATCAAAGATTAGGAAAAAATAATATTTTTACAAATTTTCAGCTAAAAATAGAATATAAAACAATGGCATAGCAATAGCATCTTTAGGGGGGGGGGGGGGGGGGGGGGGGGGGGGGTTCACCCTGATTTTTTTGTGAAACTTGGTTTCGAGATAGCCAGTTGACCAACAAACTAGGACCGGTGACAAACTTTTGAGGGGGTTAGAAATTATAATATCCCAGGCCAAATTCTAAAATTTGCAGTGCATTTTTCAGATTTTGGCCTAACTCCAAATTCCAATACAAAACTTAAGGTCGAAATGCGATTCTACGTTGATTTTGAAAATTTCATGAGAAAATATTGAAACCCTATTGAGTTCTATTGTTTTTAGCGAAATCAGTTTCGCAAATATTGCGAACTGAGATATAGGCGATTTTGTTCATTTTTTACGATTATTTGAACACAGAATCCACACTTAGGTAGATATTGAGCTGAAGAACATATCAGAATGTGTAGTTTAGGCTTACCTTTCATATAAAGTTGGTTTCATTCAAAAATATTGATATTTGACTAATTTATGGGCCAAAATCGATCAAATTTGGTGCATATGCCCAAATATGGGCATATAGTTTTTAGCTCATAACTCAGTCATTTTTTGTTTAATCTTAATGAAAGTTCATATACGAGTTCAGGGGACCACTAACTACAAGTAGAGCTCATACCCCCCCCCCCCCCCCCCCCTTAAAACAAAATAAAACTTTTGAACAAACCGATCATCTTCTTTTATACGAACTTTATCATGATATGATTTCACATTTCTTGACATAGTATACATCTTAAACTTGCATACTTAGCACTTCATACAGCATGTGGCATGCTGACGTTTCTAAAATAGTTGGGACCATGGCCTTTTGTTAGCTCATACCCCTGCTCAATAGCATCAACAACCGAAACTGGAAGTGGTCCCTCTTTCAAAAAATCAAGATTACAAACCAAATGAGAGATATTACTTGCACCCACAATAATAGCATCATGATTGTCTCCTGATAAAGCAGAGTGGTGTGTGACCCACCTCAATGCTGCAGATGTTACAGCAACTCCTTCCTTTTTACAGGCATCTTGTATGATATCAAGAGCATCAAAATACTTATCTCTCCAGAATCTATCTCTGTAAGCTTTTCCCCATGCCTTTCCTGCAAATCTTCCTGGTTCACTCACATCCTCTGGATTGTCATCTCTAATG